CATATGTACATATTGTGCTTATATAGATAAATGCACATTCCTTTATAGGCACATGGTAATTGGCATATATACCATTATTATTGACACATACTTCATCAAGCATGTCATATATCATCGAGAGAATAGTTGGGAAACTTTGTTATTAACCCATATAATCTACATTGAACTGTACATATACCAAAGTATCAACAAAGAACATTCAACTATTACCATACCATTGCCTCTATTATTTTCACCTAAAACGATATCCACGATACAAACATTTGCCTATACGCACCATTGCAATGTGCTTCTGAACCTACCACAGGTCTCGCCGTTCTCATCTTTCAGGGAGGCCACAACATTGCGACGCGCTTTAACATTTCTCGCCTCCTCTTCCTCATTCTCTGCGGACCTTTTAGTCGCCATTGTATTAATATGTGATTAACGGATACGTTAGCAACTATACGTGTGCGGGTTAATTGCGAGTGTATGTAGCCGTGTGTATATCAACTGCAATCTCAAATCGATAGGAACAGTATACTGTACAATATACATTCAGTACATACCCGGCTTTTTTTGAAAAATGTGTGATACGAGCTTGAGTAATCAATATTATAAATTTCACGTGGTGCGTCGTATAGGAAAAACTGAGTTTACCTAAAACTAATAGATGGGAGATGATAAGCTGGGTCAGGTAGTACAACCCTGGGCAGTGGGCAGTCAGTGTACCCATTGCCCGATTGCCCATCCCTTGTGCTGTGTATTATGTCGTTATAGACAAGGGAAGCAGTTGCATTGGCACTTTATCGCACCATTAGACTTGTGGAGGTGCAGTTAACCACAGCTATCTTGCCATCCTTCTTGTACTTGCGTGTACTTCTGACCAGTATACTTGAGTCTGCGCTCGATCATAGATACGTACGTCGATGCTTGCGTCTTCATCTGGTCACGAATATATCTATCCAATGATTACATGAAGTAGCATACACCATCTCACACTACTCAACAATCCGAATGCACAGAACAACTCACACATATGCACGCACATCCGAACGAATATCCTAAATCACGCCCGCATAATGCAACCATGGCTGCCGCGCACAAGGTAAGCTCGCTATTAGACTGGTGTGAGTCGTTGGATGGACAAGTTCCTGCGCGTGTGGCATTCAAAGCCATTGCCCAGCAAGGGGTGGGTGGGGTGGCCCAGCAAGCCATTGCGTCGACTGATGTGGTGCTGGAGATTCCTGTGGACTGTGTGATTACGGCCAATACAGCGAGGTCGGATAAGGAGGTGGGGCTGGCTATTCGAGCAGTGGATAGGGTGCTGAGGAACAAACAGGTGGATCTACTATAAGTATATGTCTTGTGTGAGAGATAGATCTTGTTGGCTTGAGTACGGTACTGGTACATATGCGGTTGATATGGGTGTATGTGCTTTGTAGTCGTGTGTGTTGTGACGATTGGTAGTTTGTACCTGTACATCATGCTGGATGAACGACCAGACGCGTGCATGCACTCTCGTGTCTATCGTGTGCTCATAGGTACATGCTGCATCATGTATCACTATTGAAATCGCACTCCACCATATGCAGTACAGAGAGGTTGTAGCTTCTGCGTTGCTGTTGTTACCTGCATCCCTTATGAAGGATGCATAGATCAACCTAGACGAAATACAACGTAAATCTGATACAGGAGTGTTACAGTTTCGCATGCGAGAGCTATATATCATTCAGTCACAGTCTGGGGATTAGTCTGTTGTGTGCCGTTTAGAACAGCTTTTAAAGCTACAATGTAGTGTCTTAGTTGTGTTTCACTACGTAAAGATCTGCAATGTGCGTGGAGTTGAATCGTATATCTTCCACGTGTCTAAAAGTTGTAATACAATGCCTTGGATGTGTTCCATTACACCTGTGCTCGTGTGTCTGTAGGTTGAGTTGACTCGTTCTATTGTCATATCTAATTCTAACGCTTGAATACATGTCGTTATACGTGAATGCTGGATTCATTTGCCTTGATTGTTGAGATTGATGTGTGATTCGGTTCTTATCTGGTTGATGAGTATCCCATCAATAGCTATGACATTCGTCACATGCTGTAGGGGAATTTCTTTAATTTTGCAGCGAAACCTATGCGTAAGTACGTGATACTACTTTAGATCTCTACAAACGCTTTACATATACATATATTACTAAGCGATACTACTGCATATACATATATATATATTTATAGGTGGTATTGATGCATATACATATACATACATTTATAAATGATACCAATGCATATCCATTACATGTATCTAAAAGTGGTACTAATGCATATATATATTCATATATTTATAAGTGTTATTAATGCATATACTTCTAGATATATTTATAAGTGGTGCTAATGCATATACATCTACATACATAAAAGAGTTGTACTAATGCATATATCTCTGAGCGGCTCACATACAAATTTCAAGTCAATGTTCGCTTTTCGTAATTATTGACTAACATTTCTTTGAGGGACTTAGCATACGATTTGGTGTTGTGACAAGCAAACACCGCTACAATAAAACATCAATTCATTCCTTCGGCTACCTCGTGTCTTTGTGCAATAGTTTGGATCACATACCTCTCGATGTGATGCACTATTGTATGAACGTATACATCTTCCACCGGTTGGACTCAGAGACTAGAATATATACATATATATATATATATATATATATATATATA